GACACTAAGTGAGGTATCAAAGACACAGTAAACAATAACTCTATGTATCTAGAAAACAGATTCCTTTTATAGAAAAGCCTTTGGTGGCTAAAGGGAATACTCAGGAAGGCCCAAGGACTGGAAATGTGAATTCCAGTCTGTGTGAACCCTTACTATGACAGGTAACCAACGACTTCAATACGTCCACTCAGAAACACAACTGGGCACACACAATGAATAGGACCTGGTGTCATTTACAGGCACTTCAGTGAAAATGAAATAATAATTTTGCTTAAGAAAAATAAGTAAATATTACATTTTAGCAATGCGGAAACTTGAAGATGTAAATCACAGTATATTCTAATGTCTATCATCTAAATGAACTTGAAACCAAAATCATTTCATCTAATTTTGTTACTGTGAGCCAACTTATCAAAAGGAAGCTGCTCACTGTTGACAAATCCATAGCATATAAGAACTACAAAGGAGTTTCAAAATTACTGAACCCACGGTTTTTCTATAACCTGATGTCAAATGGTGCACTGATTTATGATTAGTTCAGCTGTTGAAGAGACATTGATATTACTGACGTTAAGTTTGTCAAAAATGCAAAGAGAGGAAGAACTTGATTGTGTCCATCAGCATTTACGTCCTGCTTGAGTTCTCCTTGTGGAAAAACCTCAGGTTGTAGGCGGTTAGAATCAGGCAAAATGAAGATTCAAAGATGCAATTCCTACAATTTGAGGCCCTCAATGAATAGCCAAATATATGTAAAATATTCAAATGTGGAAAACTTTCCTATGATGTGAGATATTTTAACACCAATCTTCTAACACAATAAATTATTTTAAATCCTAGTACTGTATACTATGCAGCATAGATGGCTTCTAACTATAAGTAAAACTTCAGATTTGATTGAATAAGAATCCACAGGCAGGGTTACAAAAAGAAATACTTTTACAATAAACACAGCTGGGCTGGAGAGAAAGGTAGGCAGGAAAGACATGTCACACACATAAACTCACATGTCACACAATACACTCACATGTCACACAATACACTCACATGTCACACATACACTCTCATGTCACACAATACACTCACATGTCACACATACACTCTCATGTCACACAATACACTCACATGTCACACATACACTCTCATGTCACACAATACACTCACATGTCACACATACACTCTCATGTCACACAATACACTCACATGTCACACATACACTCTCATGTCACACAATACACTCACATGTCACACATACACTCTCATGTCACACAATACACTCACATGTCACACAATACACTCACATGTCACACAATACACTCACATGTCACACAATACACTCACATGCCACACACATACACTCACATGTCACACAATACACTCACATGTCACACACATACATGCACATGTCACACACATACACGCACATGTCACACAGTACACTCACATGCCACACACATACACTGTTTTGCACACACACAATACACACACTAACATTCATACATTAACACATACACACATTCACTAACATACAGCCTCACACATATGTACATATTCACATACACACACATAAACACACAACACACACCCATATACATACATACACACTCACATACATATTCACAAACTCATTCACACATGCACACTCATATACACACATACATATAGACACACATAAACACAAACACAAATAATACACTTAAAAAATAAACTTAAATATACTAAATTACTTAGTATTATTGGTGATTAAGTAAAAATGATGCCTAAATGATAAATAAATATGTTGGTGCTAAAAATTTACATTTTGAATCACATATTTCTCTTCATTGCCTGAAGTAAACATATATAGAAATAGAAAATAGTACATTAGGAAAATATTTATCAACTTTCAAATTTGCATAAATGGAACATTCATTGAATTTACATAACACAGAGTAGGAATATGCTCTTGTTGCACGAATAATAAAAGCCCAGAGACAGAAAGAGGATCAACTTGAAAACCAAAAAGCAAAGTAGTCAAACCACTAGAGAAGTCTTAACCTTTACCAAGGCTGGGCTACCAAAAAACTAAGTAGACTAAGCTTGTCTGTCCTCTCATTAAAGGTGTGAGCCACCACCACCTAGATGTGTTTCTGGATTGATCTTGTGTAGCCCGGGTGGCCTTGAAATCACAGAGATTCATCTGACTCTGTCTCCGAAATCCTGGGATTAAGGTATCTGTCACCATTGTCTGACCTCTAGTGGCTTTAGCTTTACCTCTGGTCTTCAGTCAAGAATTATTTATATATATATATATATATATATATATATATATACATATATATATATGTATATATATGTCTGTACATACATAATACTATATATATTATTATTTTAATTGAACCTTTTGAAAGTGCAAATAATCATGACAATTTCAGCTAACAATGAGTAAACATGAAGTATAAAAGAAATCACGATGAGTCCAGAGCTCTAAACACAAGTAACAGCCATTGAACATTCTGGAAAATACCATTTTCCAGCTCTTGAGACAACCACAATTGCTTTTAACTTGTGACCAATGAACTAGCCCAAAGTTGCAAAAATCCAAGTTGCAGTACTTTGAAATCTAGGAGTGTAGCCACACTTTGCTGATTTTCTGAACCTTCTTCATTTCAGAAGTCTATCCACAGTGATTTCCTACCCACTTATTAAAAATTGAAAGACAACAGCTATAAACACTTAGAAATAACAGAAGTGCTCTTGGAGTGAACAGACGAGGATGTTTTCAATGTTTGCCTGGAGTTTCTGACAATCATCTATATCTAATCTCACCAGATTTTATTGGGACTTGCTTACAACAACCTGACTATGTGAGCAGTAATTGAATCATAGGTTTTGAAGTAACCAATTCATGCCTGCCACCTTGTCACCTAAGTTCATAAGAAGACAGTAGCTGACCATCTTTCACTGGATCGATTTCTCTCATGAAACAAACCCCATTTTAACTATCCTGGGTTCTTGAGATTTTAAATTAGTCTAAAAAGTAAAATATTCCATAAAAATTAAAATTTTGCTGGTATATGCAGAAATATGCAGACACAAATATATATGGAAGCAACTTCAATCTAATTCATGTCAGTTGATAATTTTATTTCTGTTTTGTTCCATTATTCCTATATGGTACATATTTTGATGTCTTAGAATCCTGACAACATTAAAATAATAAGAGGGCATAAATTATATATTATACATATATATGTATATGATATGTGGCTATGTAAGTAATATACACATATATGTATATAACATATTAGTATATATAAAACTGTATTAGGAAATAAGTGATTTTGAATTGACTATCACTCTGTCATAACTTCTAAATATAGAAGAGACTCTTTTAAGACTTAGCAAAAGTTCTCTTACTATTGAAACCCTTTTTCATTTTATATTTTAGTGCATAGATCTAAAAGAAATCAATGCAGGAAGGACTATTCATACCAACTAGAACAACCCATATATCGAATTCTGCCAAGAGGAATAGAAAGTACTCCACCCATATTCTTTGTTCCCTTGTTCCTTACTCATAGTAACTCCTAACTATTTACGAAAACCAATTACTATGTGAAATAATCAACCCATTTCATTGTACAAATTCTTTTATATTTTGCAACACTATTGGTTTCTAGATTTTTTAAAATCAATATGCTTTGCTAATAAAACAAGCATTTTAAGGGAACGAGAAGTTGACATTTCAATCTTATTACTGAGTATTTTTTTTCTCCCAAAGTAGGATAAGTGTGAGAAGTACAAAGTACTCATGTGTGCAGTACAGGAGATCAGGCCAGTTGCAGGATCCAGAAAGATTCAGTTTCAGCTTTGGAAGAATCAGAGCTGACTAATTGAAATAGATCCACTTGGGTAATATTAATTTTGCCTTGTTTTCTCATTTGATCAGTTTTATTGTCCTGCTCCGTGAACAAATAAACACGCATGACACTGGATGGAATAGATCCCATTGTCTTCATCTTGTATATGAAGATCACATTGGAACGCCATTTGGTAGTTATATTTCTTTCAATTTTTCCATTTCAAAACTTTAAAATTGGAAGGTGCATATTCTCTGTTTATAGGTAAACATGCATGCACATGTGTGGGAAAATGGGGGGGGGGGCGTGTGTGTGTGCAGTCAAAGGAAGGTACCAGACATCAGTTGCTCTCTGCTTTTCTCTTTAAATAGGTTCTCTGCCCAGTGAATTCCAGGAATCCCTGAACTCCATCTTCCCTGGACTAGGATGACAGACACAAGCCACTGAACCTAGGCTTTTAGGCATCTACTAAGGGTCCCAAAGTAAGTGAACTCTCATATTTATATGGTAGACACTTTACAGATTTATCCATCTCCCCATCCCTGGAAATTATATCTTTCATTGTAAATGAATATTTAAGCATTTGGAAACATTTATAATTTATACTCCATCCAAACAAAAAGAAAGTCAATTTTAGGGAGATATTTCAAAAGTGAAGACAGGATTGAGGAAGAGTTTGGGGAGAAGGTTGAACATGATCAAAGAGTATTGTATGAAACTATCAAATAACTAATAAAACTGCATATTCAGACAAGACAAATCTAATTAGATTATAGCAAAAGTTGATAGAGTAAAACCATCTAGACGGTGACATGATAATATGGTGAAATTGCACATTTGGCTGTTTAGTGGTACTTATTCACCTGGTTCAGAGTAATAATCTGATACACACTGAACAACATGTCCTAAAGATTGATTTCCTTAAAATTATATACTTCTCAGAACTGCCCATCACTCATCAGTTCTTTATAAAAAATGTCATTTCCACATAAAACTACTAGCACAACATGAGCAATACCCCACAAAATGCATGCCCTACATGGTTCAAAACAGGCTCATTTCTTTTGCCAGTTTTTCCAGTCTATTTCTGGGTTCACAAACATTCCTACCTGATATTTGAAAACCAGACATTTGAAAGTAATGCTAGATCCATGCACTCACAGTTTGTGATCTTCACGGTCCTCTTGACTTCTCCACTCCCTGATCCACCACAGCCGTCTTCGTCATCACAGTCCCCACTAGATTGTTCCAGCATGCCGCCACCACTGCCTGGCTGAGGCAACTCCCTCGTGTTGGGTTTGGGAGATCTACCCTGCAGCAACTGAATATAGACAACAATAGTACATGTAAAATCCATAGATACACATTTCCTTAAACATTTTAGAAAGAAATTCCGAAACTAGGATGATTCTCTTATAGGATTTCACTAGCTCTGTGTAGATCCCTTTCCTAATCAAACCTTGATCATGTAACACATTTAAAATAATAACTAGAACATTGGAAAATGATGGGCAAAATCTGGTATCTGCAAAGAGCAACAGTAGTCCACCTACTAACTCTAATGTGAAGCTTTGGAGAATGCTTCGAAAAACAAGTCAGGCCTTGTGCTTTCAAGTGGTTTGACCCAATGACCCTGTATTTCTGAGGACGCAGACTCTAACCACAGTTAATTACACTGTTATACAATACACCCCTCACTGTGAAGCCTTGGCTGAGAATCTTGTACCAGGTTTCAAACTGACCCTCCACACATTCTCCAGATATGGAGTGCTAGCAGCTCAGAAAAGAATTCACCAGCAAGTTTAGCATTCTGGACAGACACATACATGTCAAGCCATCTAACATTCCAATGTAGAGGGCACAGGGCAGATTTGAAGTCCAATTTACATTTCTGCAAATTGTTGACTCTTTGACCTCCAGAGTTCTTAATTCTCATGAACTTCATTAGCTCTTAAGAGCAAAATAAATGCCATAGAAATTTTTTTCAGACTAGACACAATTAATATTTTTAATAATACTGAAAATTTTGGAACTTCTTTGTAATGGGGTGATGATATAAATAGCAGAATATTTAACTTAAAAGTAAGACTTATAAAAATAATCAGATATGGCATTTACGCTCTAAGGCAATTTGGTGACACATATGACTAAAATAAGAGAACAGGGCCCTGCTGTCCACTTAATGGGCATTGAAATTAAGTTTCTTTGCAAAAGGCTGAGGAGAGGAATTCAATGTGCAGATAATAGACATTCATATGAATGACAGCATCTCATACTTAAGACTTCAAAGGAAATAACTTCAGAATGTTGATGACAAACATGATAATTGTAAGTATACTTAGATCAAACAACTGGACTTTGAGGTTCAGAAAGTTCACAATTAAAAAATATCAGGTCATAAATGCAGAAATACCACAACTTCTTTAAAATTTCTATTTTTCTAACCAAAAATCATGCAAGCAATAATAATTATTTAATTTGCCTTGCTTTTCAGCAGTTCTCAAAGACTATGCCACTAGAGTTAATTTTTAAGAAATTATTTCAAAGTCAAATTAATCGAAACTTCTTTAATGTGGTTAGCGTGCTGGTATGTGTGCCGGTTACTAGAGATGGGGGTGGGACAGGGATTATTGCTATGGAGAAATACATGTACACAACTTTAAAAACTCAAACCTAAAGAAACAGAGTCAGGAGAAATGGTTCTACCTTATGTCTCTATTGCTGTAGGAATTCCTACGGCCAGTAGCCTTTAAGTTACCCTGTCACTTCGGCATGGCCTCTTATACTATATATTCCAATGTAAAGCCCCTTCCCTCTCTCTTCCGGATACGGGATTTGGTTGCTGTTCCCTGTTCGAGCAGAGGACTGTGATCTGTGAGTCTACCCCTAAATAAATAACCCTTTATTATACTCAATTCTGAGCTAGGGTGGGATTTCTTTTTAGCATCCGTCTTCACTTTATCATCTGTTATTCAAGTATTCTACTGATCATGGAGCTAGCATCAAATGCTTGGACTAAGAAGTTCAACATATTGAGAAATGAATCTTGACTCTCACATACATTCACTATGAAAAATAGCTAAAGGTGAATTCCTTGAATAACTGATTCAGCTTTCTCACACCTAAAACAATCACTCTGGGTGCTATTGTCGTACTGAGAAAAAACACAAAAAGTATAGTAATTTGAAATAAATGTGCCAAAACATTAAATACTAATACAAATAATTACTAATATTTACTTTATTACATATTCTAATAAAATGTTATTTAAACATCTAGTGTTATGTAGCGGCGTAAATGAATGCAGACAGATTGTAATAATATATACAGCTTTAATGGGGAAATAGACTTACAGAACCATAGGTTCCCGTGGAGAACAGGAAAGCAGAAGGGGCGGCTGGGAGCACACCCTTAATCTTTATAAGTAAAAAATATCCTCGGGGGACCCCGCCCCCTGCTAACAAGGTGATTGGCTGGGTCTTCCCTACAGTGTTAGCTTAAAGAATTATCTGATAGGTAATCTAATTATGAGTAAGCCTTGAGTAACAACTATAGCAAAAGCCATACTCTGTGGTTTCTTGCCTTCTTTTTTGATGCTTGCATTCTTTAGCAACATTTTCCCATATCAACTCTATTTTCTAAGGATTCTTCTGGTATTTTACTGGGATTCAGTCCAGAGCACAAACAAAATCTCATGAACAGCAATACATAAATCAACATGATCCAAGCCCAAGAATTTGATCTCAAAATTCAAGTAGAATGATAGTCACTGTAAAACAGTACTATTTTAAGAAACCTTTTCATTTAAAGTGACTAAACATGTGGTTGGAGAATTATTCATTTATTTATAGTTGTCACCACTCTAGATGAAGTGGGAGCTGGGAGAATGGAGCCAATAGACGAGGCAAACTAAAGTCTCGTGAGATAGCTAACTTTATTCAGAACAATTTATATTCTGAGGGTTTAGAGAAATCAATCACATGAGTAAAGTTCTCATGAGTTCAAGCTGTATGCAACCACAAGGTCAAGCCTCACGTGGTGCTCACTGACGTTTCTGTCCTACCCAGTTCCCCAGCCATTCAGTCTCAAGGAAATATACAGAGGTCTACACTAATTATAAACTGATTGGCCTATTAGCTTAGGCTTCTTATTAACTCTTTCTTACATCTTATATTAGTCCTTTATTCTTGTCTGTGTTAGCCACATCTTGCTTGCTCTGTGTCTGGCTTCCTCTGTGTCTGGGTGACAACTACAGACTAAACCTTTCCTCTTCCCAGAATTCTCATTGCCCCACCTATACTTCCTGCCTGGCTACTGGCCAATCAGCATGTATTTAAAATACAAGTGACAGGGTACAGATCATTGTCCCACATCAATGAGGCAAGAAAAGCTTTCCAGAAAGGCATATAAACATTTAATCGAATAACAGCAGCAATCAACAATGAGTAATATGAAGTAAGTTCACACATATCCACTACACTAGGAGGAACAAGAAAATACATACCAAGGACAATTCCATGTTTTAAAGAAATTGAGATCACAAAACTTGTTTGTTTTCTTAGAGTTTTCTCACAAGTACTCAGAGTTCCTCTCACATGACACTGTTACTTGTCTATGATCAAGAATAGTGAATGTTCGCTATGTTCAGAGAGTCCGGTTTTATCCCAGGCTTTTCCGGACCCAGGCCAGCTGGTCTTGGTGAGTTCCCAGTAGAACATCCCCATTGTCTCAGTGTGTGGGTACACCCCTCGCGGTCCTGAGTTCCTTGCTCGTGCTCTCTCTCCTTCTGCTCCTGATTTGGACCTTGAGATTTCAGTCCTGTGCTCCAATGTGGGTCTCTGTCTCCTTTCATCGCTTGCTGAAGGTTAATATTCAGGAGGATGCCTATATGTTTTTCTTTGGGTTCTCCTTATTTAGCTTCTCTAGGATCACTAATTATAGGCTTGATGTCCTTGGCTTATGGCTAGAAACCAAATATGAGTGAGTACATCCCATGTTCCTCTGAGAACTCAAGAACAATGGCAATGGGTTTCTGATCCTACTGCACGCACTGGCTTTGTGGGAGCCTAGGCAGTTTGGATGCTCAACTTACTAGACCTGGATGGAGGTGGGGGTTCCTTGGACTTCCCACAGGACAGGGAACCCTAATTGCTTTTCGGGCTGAGGGGGGGGACTTAATTGGGGGAGGGGAAGGAAATGGGAGGCGGTGGCGGGGAAGAGACAGAAATCTTTAATAAATAAATTAATTAATAAAAAAAAGAATAGTGAATGTTCAAAATAGTATGGGACATTTATAAGATCACCTGTGATGTTTCTGATATTTGTTTTTCACTTTAGCATCTAGGAAGTATCTAAAACAATGAACTCAAAATTGTAAGAAACAGTATTATATACAGCCATAATTTCTTTCAAATAATCTGTGCTGAGCAGAATTGTAAAACAGATTTCAGGACTTTGCACTTTATTTCCTGGAACTGGGAAGCTGGTATCATTTTCAAACATGATATGCTACATTTTCAGGACTTATGCGCATGTACTAACTCATTTATTAGTTAATTTGGGGTTTATGGAAAGCAGGATTGTCTGTGTGAGAATAATAGAATCAAATCAGTGTTTTAGAAGACAGATGGGTTTTTGGCCATTACCCGAGACAGAAATTAGAATCAGAGGTGCTTGGGAAGTATGATGCAGGGAACCATGGTATATTTTGATCAAGGCCATTAAGGGAAACATGGAAAGGAAGTGACTATGTGAGGCATCTAGAAACTAAGAACAGAGTGGTTTCTAATATGGACTTGGGACACTGGTCTTATAATCCTCCCTGTACAGTCTAGATTCTCAAAAATGGCTCATTCCTCAAAATCTCTAAACAGAGTCAAATGTAGCCAGCCTTTGATTTCAGCCACATGACAGCATGAGCTCAGGTCTGATGATGGAATACTGCTAACTGTATGATCATTTGTTGTGTACCAAGAGAAATTTAATGGATTCACATATTTAATACATACTCACACTTGGACAGCAGTTTTTGGAAAAATTAAAAAAAATATTTTTTAATTCTCTAACACATTCTTTAGAAACAGATCCACATACTGGAAATATGGTGCCCTTAGATATCGCCTCTCACATTTCAACCATGTATAGGTTTTGACTTTCTCTGTTTCCTTGTGGTCTTTCTATTTTCCATGTCTTCATGTAGAAGACAAAAACTGCTATTTCTATGGTGGTCATCGAAACAAATCCAGGATCTCACTGGGTGGACAATCCCAGATCTGCAAACACCTCTCCTGATAGGATTGGTGTATCCCTTTCCTAAGTGTG